TCAAGAACACTACAAAGATCAAGCACTCCAGTGGAGTCTCTAAACGATTTCTGGATCACCGGGTCCTGGTATCTTGACACGAGTTGCTCTACTGTAGCAATGGCTGCCTGTTGTATGGCGACATACTTGTTCGGTAAGAGCGAGAGGATGGACGGCCAACTGAACTGTGGGTCCTGGGCTATTACTGATGCACGCGCTGGATCCGCTGTTAGGTTGCTGATTATCTAGAAAGTGATTTTAATACGAAACTTACGTCGTAGGTTAATGCTCACAATTACTTATGAAATAAACGCTCATGGTCCTCGATTCATCGATTCGGTGAAGGAAAATATCGTGATGAATCCTTCATATCGAAGAGGGTTCACAGCCTTCGGAAAACGTTTAAAGTCTCCATCCCGCATTGGGCGTTGCGGAGTAAGGGCTGAAACCCCCGCCTGAGAATACATAATTGCGTTGATGATGATCCTTGATAGAGATATTAGTTTTAGATAGGTATCTGGCGATTTTTAAACTTAGAGGTATCTATATCAAAAGTACACTTTTCTTAATCACAATGAATCAGAATAGTTGGCGAAATGTTATTTGCAGCAATTCGTCTTATCGCTTCATCTTTAGAACACAATAGGATAAAAGAGTGAGCAGTCTGGGTAACGCACGTGTATAGAGTACAAACAACTAGTTTAAGCACTTTTACGCATTGGCACTTAATTTTAAACTTGATAATCTGTATGCGGAACTAACTTTGTTGGATTAGTAAGAAAAGACTCGGCAGTCGGTATTTTACGAAGTACTTACTGAAAAACAGCGCTGCACGGTACCACCGTCGTTTCAGTATAAGCTGAGCCTATGCCTTTTGTCTCAATTTACTCTTACTGTTAACTTCTTTGCTATGTATAATTTTTAATTTTTTAAATGTTATGACAATAAAGTATGTATTTATTTTATTTATTAATTAAATCCGATAACCGATATCGTTCTGACGCGTCACGACACAACACGTCAGATAAATGTAAATCCGGCTTTATTCTTTTTTATTCAGAGCAGTTACTTACCTGTAAACTATTCATCTGGACGTCAGGGTCAGGGCAATTTTTCATTCTGTTGAATATAACGCTTAAAATATTAGCAGCGAGCAACTGCTCGCAGCCATTTAGCTCTTTTGTCACTTCCGACAAAATCAGAGATGCAAATTCCAATATGAAAATATCTTCCATCTGAAAAAAGACAGAATTGCACATTGCAGGTCCAGAATTCATTTTGCTTTTAAATGACACATGTAATATGCAGAACTTAGCAGTAAAAGCGAGCATTTATTCCATTCTACCGACGTCCTTAGTAGAAGCTAACCCCGTAGAGATATTACAAAATATAGGTACATATTGTTATCTCGATTGTTATGGCATAGAATTGCTGTTTTAATATAACGTACCAAAATTATTTTCAAACTTTTAGCTTTCATCGAAATATTTTTTTTATAACATCAAGTGACGGGACGAACAAGATGTGCACCTGATGGTAAGCTACACGCCTGTCTAAAACTGTTGCAGTGCCTTTAAATCGCAAAGATGTGAGGGGCACTGCCGCTAAGCCAGTCACCTCGAGATGCAAGGTGACAAGTCCCATGTAATTTCATGCTCACATTATTACTTGGCGGCAGAAATGCGTAAGGCAGTACTTCCCCGGATTAACTCTTTCACAATGAGCTCTACTGCTACTAAACCATCTATGCTTATTAATCGTAAATAGAAAAGTAGTGTAGAATACGGATGGAGACACTTCGATACAGTTTTGGTATAACATCAATTAGAAAGATATGGTGGCAATAAATATTGTAGTCGTACCGTACAAAACAAAGAAACGATTCTTCTCAAACTCTCTGGATCCTCCAGCACCTGTTCACGGCCACGTGGCAAATGGCAGAGTAGAGCCAAGTTTTTGAGCGCACATCTCCGTATACTCAACTCGTTATGACCGATATGCGGCAAGATATACTGTATCGCGTCCAAGTCTAACAGAAGTTGGCAATTTGACGGTTCCTTATTTCTCTTGTCTTGTTTAGCAAACTGTGCGATTGCTAGAAGAGTCTGTTTTCGCAATAAACAAAAAAAAAAGAAAAAACAAGGTATTTGAGGGGGTAACCTATCACAAAGTCGAAAATTTTTTGTCCGAAATAACATTTGTTCGAATTTTCATTACACCGAAAACCGAATTATAACGAAATTGTTGTTCTTTTAGGATATGTTCGATGTTTATCGTAAAGACACGATTAGGTTCAGTTAGATTAGGTTGAGTTAGGTTTAAAAGAAAAAACATTTTCCTCTCAAAATTACTTTCGAGGTTATGACATTTCGAGCAAACGTTCTTTCTGGAAAATGAAGGAAATGTCATTTCGGATTAATGATAGGTAACTATTTGATGGTAGTGACGAGCAGAATGCTGGTGATGGGCTTATTATTGAACATTTGTATTAGCCAAATTCCGTCATGCAGTGACTTTTGTTGAGCAAATCTTCTACCTACAGAGGAATAAGCAATAAAATGGAGTGCATTTAGTAACAAGTCCATTTAATCAACGACAATGGTAGCCAAGATTCTTACACGGCTATTACAAAGTACAGTCGCACTTACTTTAGTCGCTGACCATACATAAAACACTGAACTGTGATGGCTGCATCATCGTTAGAGCAACTTTCAAAATGAAGTAAAGTAACCATTCACAATAAAAGCTGCGGAAGAATAAAGTTCTTTTACATTACGTAATATCTCCGGCTCCTCGGACTTCAGTAGCAAGACTGCGCTATGAGCAGACTCTGGAGTTATGTCGTACTGATGCGGACCCAAATCCACGTTAGCCTTCAGCGATTGCGCCATAATCATGAACTATTGTTAAATTATTGTTTAGACGATTATTATTATATTTTATTTATTTTTAAAACATTACTTAAATAGCCTCAGTAAACGTTAACGTTAGCTTGAAGAAGAGAAGCAAGTCTTATTCATGTTAAATTATTATTTTTTCTCAATGGTGGCCACTTTGGGGTCAAAAACTTTGTAATTGACGCATTTGTTGCCTTAAACCAGAAGGAACAGAAAAAACACGAAACAAAACGTCTGTTTTGGCTGAATGTACCAAGGTGTCAATTAATGTTATCTTTTTCTTAATGAGAACAAAAAGTCATAGATAAGAGCTTTATCATCTTAGAGAATGGAAGAGATAGAGACACCGGAGGCGATCGATGAGATGAAGAGAGCACGCAGCGACATCGCCGCTGTCGCTTGGCGATTTGAAAACGATGCGAATTCTACAGGAATCACCCTTTTCTTACCTTATCGCAGCGTATTACAAAATTGCCCGACTGACCGCGCGCGCGCAGTAGACTCGTAAAAATGCATGCAATCGTGACTTCAATATAGTACCTAACCATCGCAAGGGAAGGAAAACACATTCAGAAGGTACTGCAAACAATAACAATGATTAACTTCTACATATTTTAAGTCTATGGGTTTAACACAAAAGTATGGCCGCGATATATTCTTGTTTTAAAATTATACTGCCAAAATTGACAAGGTCTTCAAACACAACCGTCAAGCTTGTAATGTCTACGTACCTATTTTTAGTATAGTTTTATTTAATATTTACCTTTATGCGTAGGAGAAACATATTTGTACGCTCCTTGGGAGTATTAGCTAGGAAATTTAGGGTCTTACAGGAGACATGGATTTTACCGTGGTGGGGAAGTGGGGGATTGGCATCTGCGCCTCTTTGGGCCATGGATTCGGTGGTTTTAGTCATAAAACTGTGTTCCGCCTGCGTTGTTGCTGTCCTGAAGGTACTTATACCGCCTACAATGAAGAGTTTGCACGGAGAAACTGTACTTGTAAGTTCTGTTTGCATAAATTAATAAGTAATGCGAATTAGTTACTTTTATTTATTCCCATTTATAAGCATTTAGGTTTACTTTTGCATTGTAAAAATTCCAGATTCTTGGACCACTGTAGGATAAAAGGCAGGCCACACCGCGAACGAAGCTAAGTTAGCTTAGCTCACGTAGCCAGGGCATCTAGTCACACTTCGGTTCACGACGATCCTGCTAAGCTATGTAAAATATGTCGCCCTTCTACCGCCCTTCACTCCCGCACGTATCCATAGTCACTACTTACTACGTATTTTCTTAGCTTACCTGGCATAGTTGGTTGCATGCAGCTTAGCTTCGTTCGCGGTGTGACTTGCGCTTCGGTCTATTTCCATTAACGGATTTAAGGTACCTACTCCTGAAGTTTAGAAACTCCTTTCTTAGATAACAGGCGCAGGCCACGGCATAGGCCGGGAACTGGCCATGCAGTTCGCAGAGCTAGGCGCAACTGTCGTATGTTGGGACTGCGACGCGCGCAGCAACAATGCTGTGGTTCAGGAGATCCGAAGCAAAGACGGAGACGTGAGTATCTTTGCTGTTGCATTTCACCAAAAACAATTTTAGAAATTTTATTCATTCAGCCCGATGAAAACTGCGCGCTAAAGCTCTGACAGCCCAGTCACTCAATAAGCGTGCGGGCGCAGCCTGTAGCTGCGAGAAACTACCCTTCTCGACCGCTTCATTCTAGGCAGCTATTAGTCATGTAGCTTTCTGCATTATGCTAGGCAGCGTTTTGGTATTTAGATCATTTCAAATGACATGATGCATTTTTTCCAGTGCTTCGGTTACACAGTCGACGTAACAGTGCGCGAGCAAGTCACGGGTCTAGCGGCGTTGATGCGGCGGCAGTTGACTGAAATCTCGATGATTGTCACCAACGCTGGAGCGGCGACATGCGCTCCATTGACGCACCTCCGACCAGAGGCTGTTATGAAACTTATTGAGATCAATTTTCTAGCGCACGTTTGGGTAGGGTTTTGACGTGGCTTTACAAACAGATTCAAGACCTTCCAAGTCCCAAGCCTGCAGTAGTTTTGTTGACCTATTAATAGGGCATTTTTTTTAAATTTAATTGATTTACAAGACAGTAATACATTTTTGTCAATCACAAATTACTAAATATCATTTTGTTTTTAGCTGATACAAGCATTTCTACCAAGTATGATTGAGAGGCGGCGTGGACACATCGTCGCTATTAACTCCAGTGCCGGGCTCATGCCCAGTGCAGACATGGTGCCTTACTGCGCAGCCATGTTTGGTCTCAGAGGTGTGTTTTAAAGATTTGATTACGTTTTCTTAAGGTCTCTTCTTTAACCCTGTTTCTTTTCATTCTTTCTGAAGATTACGCATAAAATGACCTAGTTTGGCATCCGCCAGAGGACCACTCAATGAAACTTTTTCTCTAAATCTAAAAGATTGCAGTCCTTGCACTTGATATTAGTTATAATACGTTTTTGATCAAAAGGTTTTATGGACGCAATAACGGAAGAGTTGAGATTGGACGCGTGGACAAAAAACATTCACACGACATCAGTGTATCTGGCAACGGTGAACACGGGACTGTACCCGTCGCCTACGCATCGCTTCACCTCGTGGTACTCTGAGCTTTCGGCCAAGCAAACTGCTAAGATCATTATTGAAGGTATGATAGAGTTTTCCTTTTGTAAAGTTTTGTCCATTATCAATCGTATGATAGTAATCTGTGAAACATCTTTTTTTTGATTATTAAAATATTCAAACCCACAGAAAGGTACGTAGAAAAGTCCATATATTTATGCATTAAAAGGTACCTAGGACTGAGGTCCTAGTAATAATTTAATAGTTACTTTGCGGATTCATTTCGGGGACTGTGCGCAAAATTTTTCAATTTTGTCCACCCTCCCCGTTTTTCCTTCGGTCGACTAGTACCTAGGTCCGGAGCACTCCATTCTTATGTCGTTGATATTCTACCTATTCGCACTAAGCGCTTTGATTCCCCCTTTCTGATGCGTACGGCAAAGGAATGGATTGCTCTACCGGCTCTAATCTGTATTTCACGAAAAGTACAATTTGGGGCTATTCAAGGCTAGAGTGAAGAGGCATTTTTTAGGCAAACGCGTACCAACTTCGGTCACATCGTCGCTTAACATTAAGTGAGATTGTGGCCTAGCGTGTGTCTATTATATATATTTAAAAAAAATTAATGTTAATAATAACGGAAACGTGCAAAATAGCTGCGCTTGGACTCGGACTTGAGTATGGACTCGCAGGGGTTTTTGGGTAGCTGCAGGGACGAACACGTTCGTCTGCCCCGGTGTGGTGGGGCCAGGGCGTTCGTCTCGCGCGCAGCTAGCGCGTCTTAGTAGCGGTCTAGTTCAGGGCCTGAGGCGAGGAGACGCGCGGGGCACGTGAGTTGCCCTTTAAGTCGGTAGCTATGTCCGGACATTGTCGCAGGATACTGCTATTTGGCATCTCTAGCACTAGCCCGGAGAGCTGAGCTAGACATGTTCCGGTCCCTCCGGTCGCGTAGGAATTTGGGAACTGGAGAGACGCTGTTCATTCGGCGTCGGGAAATGAGCGTGTCTTACAGCTACGCTGCCAATGAGGGGTTTTGGTAGTCGACTTAGAGTCGGCTGCTCAGCGGTGGCAACCGTTAGTCGTGCGGAGCGTGACGGGAAGTGAGCGTGCCTACAGCTCCGGTACCTATGCTACCTGGAAAATAGGGAGGGTAAAACTTTGGAAGAAAGATATGGGACTTTACGACACTCGGCCGAAGAATGAGCTCATTTTTTTTTGTAAAGGACACAGTTGGCCGTTGATGGCCTCCTGATCTGCGCCACCAGATGAGAGGGCGCGCTGAAGGCTCTTAACTCATTAAACTTACTAAACTAAATCTAAGTCGCGGGGCACCCGGACTTCGGCACATCCCGCTACTGGGGACTTCCAGAACGGGCGTGCTGTAGAAGAGAATCCGAATGAGGTCGCTGAGAACGATTGGTCATATATACCCCCACTCTTTAACTTATATTAGAACGATTATTATAAATTATAACGATGGTCACGAATGGATTAATTTTTATGGGAGAGAAAATTAGCTGAGTGAAAAATAATAGGTATCTACTCGACAGAAGCGCAGTTATTTTGCACGATTTAACCTGCACTGGGTTCGCGAAGTAGCAAATTAATTTATTTCCCATTTTCATTGAGGTCCTAGTGATCTGGATAAATTCTGCATAAAAGAGCTTAAACTACCCCATTTTAAACCATCTTAACACCTTGTTATTTTTACAGGAATTCGCAGAAACCATAAGTGCATCAGCATACCTCCGTTCATGACGTCTTTAATTGATATCCATAACCTTATGCCGTACAGAATACGCATCATTCTCACAGATTTCTTCAACTTTGGCAATAGGGGATGGTTTTGTTTTTGCTAAAGGCAGATTCTTATAACAATCTATAGAATTATGACTAATAATTGGCCAAATTATATTGGTCTTATTAATTTCACAAGTTTGATTTTCTTATGTCAATAACTTGCTACAAATGTTCGTTGTTAACTTCACAATGTTTCGGCAAAATTCTTTGTAGGGTAGTTCGTTTTAAACCTTGTATTTATTAGCTGTAGTTGTTTTTAAATGAATACTGCCTTACTATCAGTCACAATGGTGATTTGTAAACAACTTTAGGTGTTATTAAAATAAATCAATTTCTTAATTAATGTAGGTTTTTATTTATTGTAAGGTAATTCCAATATTGACGACCCGGGGCGGTGGCTGAGAAATTCACGTTTTAATTGGTTTTGCAGGGCTAAAAACGCCGTATTGGTAGAATCGTAATATGATTAATTGACAATTCATATTACGAATTGCTTACAATTCATATAACTCAATTAATTCATTTCACAATCAATCAATAGATTAAATGCGTTTTTGTTTGAAAATTCGTAAGATGAATAGTCAATCATATTATGATTGTTCAATAATAACGTTGCAATATACTTTGCAAGTAATTGCTCGCACAACTCATCAGGCGTTATTTCTGAGGGTGATTTTAATTTTTAAGTTTATTTTTTTCGGTGAAAGATTTATTATATTCGCCTTTACAGCTCCTAGATCTGAGTTTCATTTTTCTGCTTAGCTGATCATCTTTACATAATTTAACTGCCTCCGTGGCCGAACGGTTACCATGCCACGCAGAGGTCCCAGGTTCGATTCCCGGGCCGGGAGAAATATTTGTATGGCCTACATTCATTTCTCTCGTGAGTTTGGGTGTAATTTATGGTTGTCTATGTGTGTGTCCATGGCTCCCGCGACACAGGGTTTCCCTAGTGCGGGGCTATGTTGATTGTGAGCGTTATTATTATTGTTATTATATGATTCTGCCAATGCGGCCTTGTAGGCCCCTGGACTGGATGTTAGTACTCCATTTCAGGGACCCTGGTCTGAGACTAGACAATTTGGTGTAGTTGTCTCGCACATTATTATTATCATTAAGTTCTAATTCAAAATCTCTGAATTTCAAATGGCAATTAAACATTGTCAAAAGAATTCAACTCCCTGAGAAGAACGACTAAGAAAATCCAGGGGTTGCTCTTTGTGAATGGATATTAATTTTTCTTGGAAATATGTGAAAGTATGATAAGTTGAGCAACAAGAAAGAACTAAACGAATAACTTATATGATTTTCAGCCATCAAAGCAAAAATAGTTAAAAATCTCTGTTTCTCAATAAATTCAAAATTCGTTTATTGTTTTAAAAGTGGTACAATGGATGGAAAAGTTATATAATGTAATTTCACACTTTTAGTCATTTCTGACATACAATATACAATTATGGTTTTTTAAATCATAATACAATACAATATTTCAAATTAAATGTGCATTAAAGACTAAAGAATGTCAAAAAAGAAGCAATAAAATAAAATAAAATCAATAAGTAGTTTTAAGCCTCGAAAATGGCATATTCAGAATAAGGATATCCACAGACTAATTGAGACATATCTACATGCATAGGTCGATGCTCCTGGTCAGCGTTTCCCTTTTTTTTTTTTTTTTTTTACGGGGGGGAAATCTTTATGGATACCCCTGAGCCCAGGGAGACTCAGGGGTTATGTGGGGACTCTCCCTACACACTGGAAGGCCTACCCCACTAAAACCCCCCCGGGTTTCCCTCTCGCCGGTTGAGTCGGCGCCGTGGGATCAGTGAATATTCACCACGACGCCGCCCGGAAAGGTCAGCGTTTCCCTCCCATAAATGAAAAAAAAAATTAAAAAATGGAAAAGGAAGTACTTATGTACATTTGTCTGGCAAAGGTTATCCAAGTAGTACACATTAAGCTGACTGGCTAAGAAATGAACTACACAGTAAACGAAATAAATCACAATGTTGTATTGTTTCACAATGAATTTTATTATAAAATTATTGTGAAGTAGGTATTCCCTGTGTTTTTTTTTTATGATACCAGGTGATGGAACGAACAAGTCGTGCACCAACGCCTGTCCATAACAGTTCTGCCGTCCTTATCGACGTAATAGACATTTTTTTAGCGAAATTCAGTTAACATATGAATTTTTGAACCGAGTTGTACAACCCCCTATAGGCGGTTTTTTTTATAATTCGTTGGTCCAGATGAACATGGTGTTATCTCATAAACACAGATTTTTCAGAAGAGCAATTTTAAAGTTTCTTCTAGCATTACTTCGACCACTATTTCGTCATTTGGTTCTCCTCACCCATACGTATCTAAAGCTATATAGATTTTAAGACTTTCGTGGTTATTCACTAAATGATTATCACTAGTATCAGGTTTCTTACCACGGTATGACTTCTTTTTATGTTCCCGATATTTCGGAACGGTTGCACGCTCCATGCGCACGGGTTGACTCTATCTATATATAAATATGGGGAAAATAAAAAGAAGTCATACCGTGGTAAGAAACGTATCTAAAGCTTACAAATTTAACAGTATTTTCGAATAGTTATTTCTTATTCTTATTAAATTCCGTGGTTTTGACAAAATCCTGAAATTGTGTTCAGCGAGGTTTGTAATATTAGCCTTTTGAACATAAAATTGTGATTCAGAGTTTTAACTAAACTATTCATGCTTAACACCATAGATTTTAGTTACTACATTTTAGTACTTGAAATGAACGAAGGAATCATCTCAGATTACAAAACAATAGGAATAATAAATTAAATATTTAATTCAATTAATAGCGACTTCTCTAGCCAGGGTTGATAGCTGTAAAGGTATCTAACTGGGTGACGAAATACTTTCATAGATTTCTCATAGATGGCGCTACGGCTAAAAAGGCGTTGATAACCAAATACAAAGAAGCACACAGAAAAATTCGTGAGGTCCGCTTGGTTCGTCCCGTTGCTTAGTTGGCATAACGTCTGGCATGGTTTGGTAGGAGACGTCGGTTCAAATCTGGCCAGATCGAAGGAATTTTTTCTAAGTGTTCGATCTTTGTATTAATAACTATAACAAAATAGGAATAATATTCTATTCATTAAAACTTTGTGGAACATAGTAGTATCTTAAAAAATTATACTATAGACTAAAACCATATTAAATGGAAAAAATATCCCAAAAAAAGGTATTACCTTGAAATAATCGTCGTTTTAGAAATAAATATTTTAAAAATACACTTGCCTTATAATGAACACATGCTGTTTTAATTTTAATACCCTTTTCAACGAACGACGTTTTGAAGACTACAGTTTCGTGTGTAATACTTAATACGACTGTGTTACTCAATGTTTGGGGCCAAAACGTGCAAAAAGTTCACAGATACTACCCTGCCTTCCGCGTTTCACGTCCGATCGTTATAAGACCTTTTTCATTAGAAAGATCTCGAATTTTTTAATAGGACTGCATTTTAAAATAAAAAGTCCACATTTTTGAGTTGAAACCATGTTCTTCCAAGGCGACGATATCTTATTTAGTTTCAGTTTTATTATGATTATTAATACAAATATCAAATGGAAAAAAACAATTCTTTGACCTGATAGGACTTGAACACATGATCACGCTGTTTATAAATATAAACGATTGAAAATTTTACGAAGAAGTGCCAACGCCTGCCCATATTATTATGGCAATAGTGCACTAAAAACTTTTGCTTTTTTAATTTAATCAGGCACTTCGTAAAATTTTCAATCGCTTATATTTTTTTGACCAATGTAGATAAGAAGCGTACACTTTTAATTAGTGAAAGTAGCAAATGGGTAGCAATTATTGGTAATACATACTTCTGGAAAATCTGCTCCCTTCATGCTGAACAAAGTGGCGACCAGCCATCTTGATATCAGAATGGCTGGTCAATTATTTTTTTTAATTTCTCTTCTTGATATATTCAAAAGTAGCAATTGTCTCGAAAAGGTAGCAATTCTTGAATATACACTCAGAATAAACAAAAAGCCATCCTGGGGGTCACTGACAAGTTGATCCTGCTCAACTTTACGTAGTCACTTGTTACTTTATGAATATAAATCATGTTAATAAAGTAATGATACTTCAATTCTGGCTACCCAGCTGAACTATGTGACTCTAATGGAGTGGTTTAATTAGTTTTCAAGGACATATTAGAAAGTTTACACACATCTATGCACTTCCAATTTATAGCTGTTCACATTCTGACCGCACCGTTCACACATTGCTGTTTCAATATGTTCCAAAATGTGTTCATCTCTTTTCTTGACATCTGCAAAACTTTTTTGGCATATTTTACACTTGTGACTATTGCCATGTTGTAAAACATGTCGCATTAGTGAAGTACGCGTTATGAAGCTTCGCCCACATGTTTCGCAAAGATGACGTTCTGGTTCTGGTTTAGCTGTGTGCTTTTGGACATGGAGATAAATTTCCTTGTGATCTGGAGATGTATAACCGCAAATTTTGCACCTGGGAAAAAAAGAATATGTTAATAAGAAAAACATTGATTGTCTTATTTTATTGGACATTATTTTTAACCGACTTCAAAAAAAGGAGGAGGTTCTCAATTCGAGTGTATATTTTTTTTTATGATTGATAACTCTTTGATGATTTGTGAACCAATCTTGATGATTCTTTTTTTAATTAAATTTTTATTGAATTGATATTCAATTATTTTTTGTGAAATTACTCCACTAGTATGTTATAATTATTAATACAAAGATCGAACACTCAGAAAAAGCACTCAGAAAAAATTCCTTCGATTCTTTTTTTGTTAGAAAGAGGGTACCTCAGTAGTAGTCCCATTTAAATTTGAAAAAAATATTCCTCTAAGGGTGGCAAACTAGGGGATGAATCCAGTTAAAAAAAAACTTGGCAAATAGATATAATTCCCTGATCTTTTGAGGTCGGTTTTTTAGTAGCCTGTACTGAGATTAGGGTTTATATTTTTAGTATCCTTTCTATGGAGTGAATAGAATAATAATTATTTTTAATTTTAGCAATGTATAAGGTGCTAAATAAAAAAATAACTCATATTTTACCTATAGAGTAAATCTTCTGCCAATTTATGATCCTCCTTCCTATGCTTTGCCAAAACCTCGTTCCCAACAAATTTATGTCCACAAACATCACAGACTCTCTCTTCCATCTTCAATACATGTTCCTTTGCATGTTTGTACAATTGAAATCGTTCTTTGAAGGTTTCGTTACACTGCTTACATCTGTAGATACATCCTAAAGTAGTGCCATAGTCAACATGACATACTCTATGATGTTGTGTTAATGTTTCCTTTGATGTAAACTGTTTGCCGCAGTTACAGGTTAGAGGTAAGTTATGGGTTATTGAATGCTGTTGCATTTTTTGTTTAGAATCAAAAAGTATATTGCAATGAATGCACATTCTTAGAGCTATGTCGCACGTACTGAAATGTTGTGAAAGTTTCTGTATGTTATCAAACTTTGCCTTACAGGCAAAACATATACTTGAAGTTTTTTCTGTTTTGGGGTTATTTTTCTTAGGTTCAGTCTCTTTCATAAGAATTTCCTTAACAATATCTACCTCTGAATCTAGTACATCAATTTTCATCTTCATTTTCGAGGTTTTTGACTTAGGTATAGGCTCTTTCTTCTGTGGACTAGGTTGTTTATTCGACTTTATACCATTGGTGACTTTAATAACTGTATCCATTGAGTTTTCTTGATTTCTGTCTAACATATTGACTATGGACGGTATGTCTTCTTTACCTAAGTTGTTAAGGTATTCCTCGATATTTGCAGTGTTGTTTAGGAATTCTAGAAGCGAGTCTGAGTTGTATTCAGAGTCCGGTAAAGGTTGAATAGGAGTTTTTGTTTCGGTTGATTTTTTCGACTTCTCCTGTAGAGAAGATTCTAGCCAGTCTAGTGAGCAGCGAGCGTGGAGTTGGAAGTTGTAGAAATCACTCAGTCGAGACACGCACGTCACGCACATTTCTTTTGGCAGTACATCAGTTTCCGACACAGACATTGCAAGGCATGATTTCATGTGTAAATGAATGTTACTGTCACCTAATATTGGGACACGCTCTGATTCCACGTCCAAGCATATTCTGCAGCAGTTAGGAATGTTTTCACTCATTTTACAAGCTATTATAGGGCACATTCGCTTAAAAGAACAGTAAAACAGCAAAACCGCCGTATTCTGCGTGCCGTTTGTTATGACAGCTGACAGCGGCTGTCAAATGGTCACGAAAACGAATTTTTTTAAAAAGATCGCTTTGAAGATTTACGCCGGTGTAATGTGAGTTCGCTACGAAAGAGATAAATGATTTTGAAATGCGTATGACACTATTTCTGCTATGAAAATAAACATGCAAAAAAACTTTCTACACAAGCACAAAATCTCTGCAAGTTTGTCCCGGGGCGAGGCGAATCTCTTTATCAAAATATAAACAAACAACTTCCAAGGCTGTTCAGCGTGTTATATTCAGTTCAGTGGGCACCACATAACGCAACAGCAACTAACCGTGACAGGTGATATCCAATATTTTTCATAGTCACTTCGATAACTCCATTGAAATCGGAGCGCATGAAGCTTGGTTGAAAATTGAAAAACAATGAGCTCCAAAGACGAAGATGGTCCTAAATTGGAGGCTCAAGAATCCCTACTATACTCCTCACGGCATGGGGAACTTTCTGTTGTCAAAGCTCTTCTGGAAGCGAGGAAAGAGGGGAAAATCACACTGGACATAAATTGCAAAGGTATGTGCATAAAGTCAAGGATATTTGCATTATTAATAGACCTTTAGTCGGTTTTTCTACGTATTATGTATATTTTAACACTTTGTAATTAACCGAACGTAATTGCAATTAATACGAGAGTTTAAAAGAGTGATGCCAGGAACATACCAAATGGAAGTAGAAATAAATTGAACAGCACAAAATTCTATGTGACCAGATTTAATTATGAGTGCAATTAAACATACATTTTTGGAAGATATTAGTTTTTTAATTGCATATTTATTACAGACTTGGAAGGAAGTTGTAAAGCAAAAATTCATAACAACTATCTTCAATCTTATAAATTTTAAACCCACTAACTATGTTTCAACTTCAGAATTTTGTGATATGTAAACAATCATTCTGAATCTGATTGACTTGAATGCTAGGTAATGGCCCCTGAGAGTGCAGCTCTGAACTACAACTAGTTTTTTCTCAAATGTTCGTAAATTTTAGGGCAAAGCAAGAGTAACCTTGGCTGGACCCCTTTGCACTTGGCATCATACTTTGGCCATGTGGACGTGGTGGAAGCCCTTCTGGATGCGGGTGCCAATGTTGACGAGGTCAATGAGACTGGAGATACTGCTTTGCATAAGGCTTCGTTTATTGGGAATGAGGTATACACTATTTGTCACTCATTCATTATGTACCGTCATAATTTTGTAATTTGCATTACAAGTCATGAAAGGTAACATTTTTCTGATACTGGAGATAATAATATTATAAGATAAGATAATCGAGAATATACATCATGTTTGATGGATAATGATCCATCAAACATGACGTATACTCTCCATTATAGTCTCCGCCATTATGGTGTTTTTTATGATCCCTAAGATTTAATTCTGAACTATTTTCTGTTTTTAGTTGATATTAATGACTTACTTAGACTATTCACAGACTATGACTTATCACATTTTCATTTTTCAATGTATGAACTGCCTCTGTGGCCGAACGGTTACTCTGTCACGCAGAGGTCCTGGATTTGATTCCCGGACCAGTAGAATTATTTTAATACCCTATATTTATTTCTCTTGTGAGTTTGGGTGTAATTTGTGGTTGTCCATGGCACACGCGGTACAGGGTTTCCGCCTAGTGCGTGACTACGAGTGTGTACGTAATTATTATCATAGTCAAGAATAAGATGCCGCTGAGAGATATTCATAATTAGCTATTTGTGATGTTTATAAAACAAAACCTCCATTTTTATTTTTTGTATCAATGAATATAGCGCTTCACACATCACCATCCTACTGCATAGCATGGTGGAAACTATGTTGATTTATATTTCCAGGAACTAGTAATACTTTTACTGAACTACAAAGCAGATGTGAATATAATGAATGGCGAGGGCCGCACCGCATGCGACGTATGCAAAACACGAGATGTGCAAAGGTTACTAGAGGCTGCGCAAAGGGCGGAACGGCAACAGAGGGAACGTAGACTTCTCAATGCTGCCAAAGATGGACATATTGAGGAGATACAGGAACTGGTGAGCAGCTATTACACACCATATGGCTAAAAATTACATATGTGTAGGCAATGAAGGCTATTTTTCCAGATTTAAATCGCATTTATTTGTTTTTCCAACAAACCAACATTTTGGGCCCTTTACAGGTCTCATGGTCACGGTTGACTGAGTTGGTACAGTCATCTACCGTCTGTTTAATATTAATTGCAAACCACCGTATTTTTTCATTATAGTTACAGAAGTTATTATAGAAATACCTTATTTTTAATTTTACAAAGATACATTCCAATTAATGGTACATTATGTTTTATAAATTATTTCATTTTAACAATATTAATTTTTATTAAGTTAAATTTATTATTAATTAATAATCGAAATTAGAATAAATTACATACGTAGTTTATATAGATAATTTAGGCTTTTTTCAAATGCGGTAGCACCACTCTGGATAGAATCAACGCCCTCCAATTGCTTCCGAGTCCCCTACCACCCTGGGGGGCTGTAGGGACCGCTTTGGTAAATTATACTTTAGATCCTTCTTTATAGCAATTTAACTAAGGAAAGATTGAAACATTCCAGTTGAGCTCTCCAAACCCGCCGAACATCAACTGCGTGGACGCCTTGGGCAACTCGTGTCTTCACTGCGTGGCGTACCGTGGTCATGCGAGGGTTGCGGTGCTACTTCTACAGAACGGGATCGATACTACGCTCAGGAATAATAATGGTTAGTTACCCTGTCAGAGGGCGCAGTACCTCTTATCACAAAGACTATTCCTACATTGATTTCAACAACGATACGATGAACAGAGGGATTTTTTTAAAATTTATTTATAGCCTTTATTGCTTTTAACTTACTAACTTATCTAACACATTGTATGACATGCGTACTTATTATATTTTACTTATTTATTATTACTCAATTTGTTGACTCAGTACCTTCAGCTTGTCCTGGGACATAGGCCTCTTCCAGAGATTTCAATTTTTCCCTATCTTTTACTGTTTGCCTCCATGTTCCTCCAGCAACATATTTAAAATCGTCTTCCCATCTAAAGTATGGTCTCCCTTTCTTCCTTTTTCCCTCTCTTGGGTACCATTCCACAATATCCCTTGTCCACTTATCAATTTTTTCCCTCATTATGTGTGTATGTGTATGTCCAACGCCATTTTTGCTGTTTTATTATGTGTGTGACTTTTTTGGTCTTTTATTTATTTTATTATCTACTTTATCTTTCAATTGTATGTTGAGCACACTTCTTTCCATACTATTCTGACAAACATCAAGTTTTTGTAATGTTTTTTAGTAAGTGACCATGTGTGGCATCCGTATGTGGTCACCAGTACAATGCACATATTTATTACTTTGAATTTGTATTTTGTATCAATTTCTTTTGATTTCAGGACTTCTTTGAGTGACCAGAATTTCCTCCACGAATTTGTGACTCTTTCAATTTCTTTGTCTGTTTGGTCCTTTGTGGATATTATTTGGCCCAAGTATTCGTATTCGTCCACATATTCAATTATATTTCTAGTTATTGCAACCTGTTCTTTAATTTGTTTGTCATCAATTTCGTTTTACTGGTGTTCATAGTGACTCCCTATTTTTACTTTTTTGCTTTCCATGTCCAATTCTCGAAGCATACTTTGTAGCATTTTTGGGTTTTTGGCCAAGAGTATAAGTTCATCTGCGAATTTCAAGTGGTTAAGGGGTACTCAATCTATACTCAAACCATATTCCTCCCAATCCAAATATCTAAATGTAATTTCCAAGACAGCAACGAATATTTTGGGCGGTGCAGGATCTCTCTGGCGGACATCATTTCTTACTCATTAAATTTTTCTATTATTTGTTTTATTACAAGAATATGATCTATGGTTGAGAAGTTCTTTTGGTACCCAGGTTGTTCTCAAGGCTGATTTTCGTCAAGAGCCTGTGTCACGCGTGCCAATATTAATTTTGAGAAAACTTTGTATATGTTAGTCATTAGACTAATGGGCCGGTAATTATTTATCTGGGTTTTGTCGCCTTTTTTGTGAAGAAGAGTGATTGTGGTCTTGGTCCATTGGTCTGGAATGACCTCTTTATCTAAACTGTCCTTAAACAGATCTGTCAGATAGTCTGGTATAGCATAAGTAATGTTATCCCCTCCAGGAGCTGTATTATTTTTTTGAGTTAAAACAGTCTTTTGTACTTCGATCTTAAGGAACATGGGGACGGTTTCTCCGATGTCTTCCAACTTCACCATATCTACATTGTTTGTCTCATTGTCGTCGTAAAGACCTTTGTAAAATTTAGTAGCAATGTCCATAATATTCAGGCGCTTCGTGATTTGTATTTGTTTGTTGTCTTTAAAAGATGGTATCCATGTTTGTCTCAAAGGAGAAGGGTCAGATTTGACCCAGTCCCGGCGCAAAAGAAATATTTTGCTTATATTAGGTAAGTAAGCTGTACAGGTTTTATTTTTAGTAGTTGTTCTTATTTTTCGTTGTTCAGTGGCTAAAAAAGATTTTTGAAAGTTTTTCATTTGAATTTAATATACATAATCACATCCACCTGTCATTATTAGAATGTGTATGACTAAAAATTTATTTCTATGCTAATAGACCAACTGTCAAACTCAGAATAAAGAATACAAAACCCAATTAGTCATCATTAGAACGTCGTAACATCACAATTCAGACATTTTTAGCTAGAATTGTACCTACTTTCACAATCTATAAAAATCGATAAAAAAGTCGACAACAATTACATGACTATTTAAAAATTTACGAAAACTAGCAATCCTGCAAATGTCATTTTACTCCATCTCCCAAAGAGACAGACTATATTGGAGTATTTTCACAAAAAAAAAACTTCAATATAATGGTAGAATAAATACTTATTTATTACCTATTCAATAAAATATGTGACAAGAATGTGTCCACATATAATGACTTTATTAAGGACAGACAGTTAGATATATTTAATTCTAAGTTTCACGTATTTAAAAAGTCCGGTTCAGATCAGATGTCCTCAAGTCGTTGAGTTAAACTATAAAAATGAAAATAATAATAATTTCATTTTAAGACTTTCTTTTTTGTATTTTCTTTTATATATTTGTACCAAAATAAATTTTGCAATTTACAATTAATTGACAGTAACTTTTCTACACATGCCGCACGTACACGCTCCTGGTTGGCATTCTGGTTCAAATCTAATTTTAAACAAATTAATGTCTTAATCTAATTTGGATGTCGACTGTTGTGTTCGCCTAATAAATAAAAAAAAGTATTAAAAAAATAAATATGGTTTCAAATTTGTTTAGGTCAACTGGCAATCGACCTTGCGAAGGATAATGAGATCCGTGAGGTGTTAAGCGTTAGGCCAGTGCAGCGGCTGCAGCGCACCGCGGCACGGTTCGAGGGCCCGCTGCTGAAGAGATCACGGTTCCTCGGATGGAGACCGGTTTGGGTTAGCCACTTATTGTATTGCTTCTTCTACAGAATACAGGCTAAGAGTAAGGCTAATAACAGGTTTTCGTCGTTAAATGTCGTTAAATAATATTAAACAAAATGTTATCGGTAAGTACTTTTAACATTAGTAAAAAATAAATGAACGAGATAACATTAGTTTTAGATGCCGAAGTCACAAAACACACAGTCTCGTTTAGTGTTAAATGTTTTTTAATTTCAATGGCTTCTCGCAGCATCCTGGGTAATTAACGAACTTGGGGACGTGGGGTTTGTCGTACTTGATTGAATATGTAGGTTTATCTATGACATGCTCACAGATTTGCAGACTTTGACGTAGTTGTAATTTGGGGAAAATTTAATTACAAATATAAAATGCTTTATTTCTCTCAGAAAGGTCAATAAGTAGTTACATTTTATATATAATAACAAGTTTCTTAGTGAGAGCTGGAGTCTGTACTAGGTTGGGGACCTACCTGGTGTTAGAGACCACCAGGCTTACTCCCTCTAGCTATATAAGGAATGTAACATCATTTAAAAAAATACAATCATATTACAAAATGAAGCATAGCTTAACAGGAAACAATGTATGTGTGTTAGTGTGCGCGAGTGTGTGTGCGTGAGCGAGTGTAAGTATGCTGCGTGCGTGTGTGCGTGCGAGTGTGTGTGTGTGTGCATTAAGATGTTAACACAACTGCGACCGCAGTTATTTTTATATTATTCTTACAATTTTCATATTATTATAAAACTGACTCTGGGTCTCAAGCCCAGTGGCCGCCATACAGGAAATAATGACATAACAAGTGTGAAGAAAAATTGGCATTAAATTTAAATTTAAATAAGTATATTTAAAAAATACACAAAGTTTTTTTTACACGTCATAAATTAAAAATATTAAAATTAAAAATGAATTCAAATCCATTTTATATAACGTTGTAAGAAATATAATTGCGTTAGTGTAGCACCAAATTAATGTTTTAAGAAAGTGTTAAATCAATCACTTTAGAAAAAATATAGAGTATAATTGAGGATATACACTGATTAGTACATGGTGTGAAAACGTTAGGAAAAAAAACACAAACTTACCTCGAAATTTTACAAAAAACAAACCGCTGTATTCAATACGTACTTTACATTACCTATGATTTTATTTATATCAGTTGAAGTAAATAGATAATTATAATAATCTATTTGATAAGTATAGTATATACATTTTTTAAACGGCCTTAATTTAGTTTGAAAAAAAAATCTGAAATAAAGCCCCTGCCGCTCGACCCCTGCAATAGAATCGATTCAGTACGGGAAATAATTTAATTTGAACTGAAGTAGTATCTAATCTTAACTTTAGTAGCAGTAGAGCTCCTTGAGAAAGAGTTCGTCCAGGGAAGTACTGCCACCTTACCTATTTCTGTCGCCAAGCAGTAATGTCCGCGTTAATGTGTTCCGGTTTTGAAGGGCAAGGGTGCTGGTGAAATTACAGGTACTTGTCAACTTACAACTTACGTGGCCCCTCAGATCTTTGCATAGGCCTATGGACAGGCGTGTAGCTTACTTATAAAAAAAATGCACCGACGCGAGAGTTGAAGTGATGTTAAATACGGGCAGGCGGTGTTGCAACGCGGCGTGCTGCTATACTACGGGTCTCGGGCAGAGGCAGCACGCGAAGGCAGCCGCTGGCGCGGGCGCAAGTATCTGGACGCGGCCAAGCTGACGGCCCCCGACGGCGAGCCCGCGCTGCTTGTCATCAACTTCAGCGACGGCGACACCAACCGTCTGGCCGTGCCGCAGGGCGACAGGGATGTCGCCGCCTGCCGACAGGTCTGACGCTTGCCGCTGCCATACTCTATCATAAGTACTAATAACTGGTATGACCAAGTTGAAGAAATACCTTAGTAGTCCTTTTTTTTAGTTTCTGGACATTGTAATTTGTGGATATTGTAAAAACGAATGCTTTTTTTTGCTTTTGAAGCGATTTTAAATTCGATTTTCTAAACATGACTTAATAGTGTAGTTAGTGGTGCAGAAAATCCCTATCTATAATTATGAAGATGTATATTCTCTCCGATAATTGTCATGATAATTTAGCATTTTCATATCCTCAAGCTCGGAGACGCCCTTAGAGGGTTATGTGGGACTGGCCGAGGCAGACACCCGGCTCAAACCGTCTGTT